AAAAAACTCCATCAATCTCACTCCTTTCCCCATGGGTCATGCTCTTATCATTTTGATGCGTATCTCTGAAAATATTTTTCTTCGTATTTACACACCCAAGTGGGCCCACAGAAGAAACTTGGTACTGTTTTGAGGGTGTACGTGGGGTACTATTTCAACGTAAACGGTATCATACTACGCGTGTTACAGCATACTTGGCTTTTTTTCATTTAAGTAATCTCTTTCTGGGGCGCCGGGGTGGCTCAGTCAGTTAAGCATCTGCCTTCGGCTCAGGTCATGATCCCAGGGTCCTGGGATCAATCCCTGCATCGGGCTCCGTGCTCTGCGGGGAGCCTGCTTCTCCCTCTCCCTCTGCCTGCCGCTCTGCCTACTTGTGCGCTATGTCTCTGTCAAATAAATAAATACAATCTTTAAAAACAAACAAAAAAAGTATTCTCTTTCCCCGTCTATACACGTAAATCTACCTACTCTTGGTAACTACGATCCAGGAGTCCACAGTAAGGGCAGCACGCCATTTATTTAGCCATTCCCCTATTGCTGGGCAGTTAGCCAAGCTCCTATTTTTCATTACAACAAACAAGGCTGAAATAAACATACACACGCCTGCTTGTGTACATGGGATAGGCTTCTCCAGGGAAGACAGCAAGTGAACATACTGGATCACAGGATACACTCATTTAAAATTTTAAGAGCTATGTTCAGGTACTCCCCGAAAGAGCTGTACCAATATACACCGACTCCGGCAGTCATGAGCAAACCCACCACTTAAGCGTCTACCTCCCTTCTTCTAGCAAAGTGTATGTACTTTAAAAGTTTGCCAAACTGACCACCGAAAAGACAGCACCTTGCTGTTATTTCCATTTGCTTCTCCCTAACCACTAGCAAGGCTGAGCATCAATACATAAGCTTGTTTGCCATCAGTATCTCCTGTGTTTACACCCTTTGCCCAGATCCATTTACCAGTGTCCCTCTACCGCCTGTCAATGCCTCTCTCTCTCTGCCTCTCTCTCGGTCATTCGTGTACCTTCTCCTGAATTTGGCCCCCGATGTTCCTCAGGGCCTCCTGGAAAACTTTGTTCTTGGGCTCCAGGCTCACACACCTCTGCAGGTCGAGGACAGCCTGGTCAAGGCGGCCCAACTTCTCTAGGGCTTGGCTGCGCCGGTAAAGTGCTTTGACATCTCCTCCGTCCTTTTCAATGGCTGAGCACAAACGGGAGCTCCGTCAGCACCCATGAGGCCACTGTCTCCAGGCAAGAGCAGTAGGGAAAGGTCTCGAGAGCCCGAGGAAGGTGGGGGGACAGATGTGGGGCTCAGTATTCCAGCCTCAGAAAAGGTGAGGGTAGCTGCAGAGAAGGAAATGCCCGAGGAAGTGGGAAAGAAAGAAGGCAGAGGTGTTTCTGGGGCCAAAGGGAAAGGAAAATGTGAAGGTGCAGTGGCCCCAGAGTTCTTGCCCACCATTAGAAGCCCCACAGCTCCGCACCCCAGCCCACAGTCCCCTACCTTTGGATGCCTCGGTTTCTGCTTTGTCATAATCTTCCTGTAAGAAAAGGAACAGGAGCTTGAAAGGCTGGTCTTCTCCCTTTCAGGGCACTAGCTGGGCAGCAGGGCTGTGCTCTAGAGCCACTCGATTCCCCACCACCCTGAGGCCCAAAAGACATCAGACAAGTAAGTGTAGGTGGCCTGGGAAGGTGAATGCCCAGCCGGGACCCAAACAGCAGCGAGCTGGGCCAACCGGGCCCAGGGAGGGCAGAGGAAGAGCAGCCGGCTCCCTCACCAGCTTGAGGTGGCAGGCGGCCCGGTTTCGGTGCAGAATGGCCTGGTCCTGGGGCGTAGCACCCAGACCCAGGGCCTGAGTGTAGGCCGTCAGGGCGCCCTCGTAGTCCCCGCATTTAAACAGCTCGTTGCCCTCCTTCCGCAGCTGCTCCACCGCGCTGGCCTGTGGAGGGAATAGGTGGAAACGTCGCGGGTGGGCTCAGGCCAGGGCCGGGGAGCTGGGAGAAAGGAGACCGGGGGTCAGGGGCAAGTCCCGTGGAAGGCCAAGACTGGGGGAGAAGGAGGCCAGAGAATGTCAGAGCAGGTGGGAAGTGCTGATGGAGCGGGAGGATGCGTACGCACCCCGGGGGCGACCGGCCGGGGCCCCGGGGTGCCCGGATCACTCACGGTCATCGCGGAGCGTGAGGTCCACGGCGCGCGCAGGCGCAGTCTCTGGCGCGGAGTGGGACCAGGTTTAGGAATCTGGCGTCGGCTGCCCCGCCCCGGTCCTGCGTCAGAGGCGGAGGCAGGGGAGGGGCGGGGCCACGGCGAGAGCGCGCCGGTGGGCGGGGCTCTGGTGGGCGGGGCTCGAGTCCGCGGTGCAGACAGGCCGTGGGCGCGCCTAGTCTGTTCCCACCGGGACCTGCAAGGGGCGCGCGGCGGAGGACCCAGAGGGAGGCTGGCAGGGGCCCCGGCGCCGGCCCCCGCCCCGACCGCGGCAGAACTGCACGAGGTCGGCGGTCATCAGGGCCACGAGCAGCAGGGTATAGAGACCCAGGGCTAGGAGCGGGCCCCGGCCCCTGTAGGAGAGGGGAGAGTATTAGGGTGCTGGCCCCAGCCGCGTGCTTGCTGCTGCAGCCTGTCGGTTACAGAGCCCCTGAGGGTCCGGAGAAAGCTCGGGGCACCCCTCTCCCCGGAGAAATGTAGAATTCGTAAATAGAAATTCAGGGGGCTCACAGGTGCCGTGAAGCCATCCATGGACAGATTCAGTTTTGAAAACCCCAACTACAAGGGCTGTAATCCACTACAAGATCCTCTCAGTCTGACACCCGTCCCGCCTCACCCCACTCCCACAGTGCATGCAATGGCTCCCTGTTACCCGCTTACACAGCCCCCTGAACTTCCTTTCACGTAACAGTTTGTCATTATGTATTCACGCGATTTTCTGTTTGAAGTCGGCCCCTCCCCTCGTCTGTATGTTACAAGCCTCCCGCCCCAGAATTTAAAAACAGCACTCCGGATGCTGGAACACCCTGCCAGTGTCCCAGCGGCTCTGGGGCCTGGAGTTCTCACCTGAGGTTGGGTGGGGGTGGAAGGGCGGACAGGTTGACCTGGTACAAGGCCTCAAATTCAGCCCGGGTGCAGCAGGAGCCCCCTGCAGCCTGCAGGTGGCAGCAGTAGGCCTCCTCCGGGGTATCAGAGAGCCGAGGACAGAAAAAACCGGGGTAGTAGCGGCCATCAGCGTCCCAGGTGGTCTGGCACAAGTGGGTGTGGTGGGCCAGTGCTGAAGGGAGGAGCAAGGGGGCTGGAGACAGGCAAGAATGGCCTGCCCACACCCAACTCCAACCCTTCTGGAGAGTGAAATGATTAGCCATTATTAAAAGGCTAGGCTCCCCTCCACCCCCCACCGGCTGCCCAGAGCAGCTCATACCCTGCGGTGATTATAGGGGCCTGAAGAGGGGTGCACACAGAGGAGGTGTACCTGAGAGAGAGGTCGGCTGAGCAAGCAGCACCCAGCTGAAGAGCAGCAGCCGCCCCACGGTCAGGCCAGTCAGCAAAAGGCCCAGCCTCCTCTGAAAGCCCATGAGAGGTCACCTCCACCTCAGCGCTGGTCTTAAGAACCCCAACATCTCTCTTTCTAAGCCATGGCTGCAGACAGTAGGGAAATAGTCAAAACCACACGGCCCCTGGGCGCCAATAACACAAACCTGAAGCTTCTATCACAGACCTCTGGAGAGAGATGAAAGTGACCGAGTTTCTATCTTCTGTTGGAAAACGTGGGAACTGTGTCTCCCAGCTGCCTAAGGTTTTCTGAGCTGAAGGGGAAAAGGTTCAGCAGACTAGAGAGCAGAGAGGCATGAGAGAGAAGTTGAGCCATTAGGCTGAAGAACAGAGAAGCATTTAGAGCCAGATATGTTTCTCTCTACCCACTCTCAATTTCCAGGCTGCTGTGGAAGCACTGGGAATTCTGGTTGTTCCATTTCAGGCCCCAGGGACCTCAGTTACAGCGTTTGGAGCTTCCCTCCTTAACTTCTGAATCATGGCAACCACTAAGACTAGCTGAAAAACAAGGGCAAGTCCTTCCATTAACTTTTCCCTTGAGCCCTTGTCTGCCCCAGCTACCAGCCAAAACATAAAAGCTATCAGTCTGGTTGGAGTACTATACTTTGCAAACCAGTTCACAGGAAAAGCTCTTCCAGGGTCTCCAGTTCTCTCTTACCCCTTAAACCTCATAGATGCCATCTGCAGAGACAGGGAATTTCTCTAGAAGGCCCAAGGCCACCAGCCAGCAGTGTTGTTATTCTAGTCTATGGAGACCTTGCAATGCCATGCTCCCATTACAGCATGACAACAGTTATCATCTGAGGGGCCCACAGCAGGTGTCTGGGGACTGAAGCAGGAACAGTTATGGTACAAGAAAGAAATGCAGCACCTGAGAACAAAGAAGACAGTTCTTGCAGGAACATCACTGCTGCCTGGGAGTCTAAACCTGAAGCAATTAGGCAGCCTTCTAGCGTAAGCTCCAATTTCCAGAAGGTCAGGCCGTAGGGTCTTCTGCGCCCAAAGGTGAGGCTCCCATGCCCATTCCAACCAGTCCCTCCCTGCAGGGAAAACCACTTTTAGAACACTTTGAGAATTTTCAGAGCATTGACATTGAAGATTGTCTTCTCATGGGAGGAGAGGATCCTCCTGGAAGAGGTTGTCTTTGACCCCGGGAGGCTAGGTGAATTGCCCTTCCTCCAAAGTACCATAGTCCCCTGTGTCTTCCTGCCCTGAATCCAGCACACTGTGAGAACACTGTCTTCCTCCTTCCCCGAGATTGTGGGTTCCCAGGGAGGCAGGCCATGTCCTTCTTGCACCCCTAGCAGATCGTCTGAACCAGGGGCTGCGATGCTGAGGGCAGCTGCCCACACCAGTTGCTGTCTCCGCCAGGATGTCAGCTCCAGAGAAACCTGTGTGGGTCAGACTCCCCAGCTACCGGCCTCCGCGGAGCCAGGGGGCGCTACGGACGCTCCGTCTGGGCTCCAGGGGCTCCCGGGACGTCAGTCGCTCGCCCCACCCGCGCAATGGGCTCCGAGGCCGCGCAGCTGGTGGAGGCTGCGGACTTCGCGGCTCGCAAGCACCGACTGCAGCGGCGAAAGGACCCCGAAGGGACCCCCTACATCAACCACCCTATCGGTGGGCGCACCGCCCGGGGAGCGACCGCAGCGGTGTCTAGGGGGTGGGCACCGGGAAGGGAACGCGGAGGGCGCCTCATTGAGCACCTACTCTGTACCAGGCTTTGTGCCGGGCACTCTCCGTGTGTAAGTCTCACAACAACCCCGGGGCGGTAGGCATGATTGTTCCTCTGCACAGTTGACACCCAAAGAGAGTAAAGGCCATCTGGCTAGTGAGAGGCCACATCTGGCTCTGCAAAATCCGCAGCACGCAGCCTGGGACTCCCTCAGGTCTGACTTCCTGCTTTGCCCCGTCAGGTGTGGCTCGGATCCTGACCCATGAGGCGGGAATCACTGACACTGTGGTGTTACAGGTAACTCCCCTCGTTCTCTCCTAGGAGGCTAGGGTGGGGATCAGGGACCCCATTCGGCCCTGGGCACCCCTTGCCTGGAGTCACAGGGCTAAGTGGAAGCCTGTCCTCAGGCAGCCCTGCTCCATGACACAGTGGAGGACACAGACACCACCCTGGATGAGGTGGAGCTGCACTTTGGCGCTCAGGTGCGGCGTCTGGTGGAGGAAGTAACAGATGACAAGACTCTGCCCAAGCTGGAGAGAAAGCGGCTGCAGGTGGAGCAGGCACCCCACAGCAGTCCCGGGGCTAAACTGGTGAAGCTGGCAGACAAGCTGTACAATCTGAGGGACCTGAATCGCTGCACCCCAGAGGGTATGCTCCCCAACCTGCTCTGAGGGAAAGGGGAGGGATGTCCTTCTTCTGGAGGCACAGGTTGGTCAGTTCCAGTGGAAAAAAAAAGAGCCTGGGCCTTCTTGTTGATTCCCCCAGCTAATCCTACTAGACCACTCTGATCTTTCACACCGTAGAAGTGCAGTAACTGGGCCAAGGGGACGTTTTCAGGACAAATCCCATCGGGAACATCTCGTGGCCCTGCACCACGCCCTCCAGGAAGTGGGCAGAAGTGGGCAAAATGCAATGCTGTCCTGGATGCCACGTGAGCAGTTTTCTGTCCATTCTCATGCAGGATGGTCTGAGCATCGAGTCCAGGAATACTTCGAGTGGGCAGCGCAAGTGGTGAAGGGGCTTCAGGGAACAAACCGACAGTTGGAAGAGGCTCTAAAGCAGCTGTTTAAGGAGCGGGGGCTGACACTTTGAGCAGTGCTTGGAGCCATCAGGGGCCCAGACTCCAGCCTTGGCCAGGCCAGAAAGGATTCCTATTCCAGCCTTTCCTTGCCTGTCCATCTCCCTCCCTGACTGGTTCAGCCCAGATACGAGAGGCCAAAAAATACTTGTCTCTTCTCACTCTGAATGTGTCCTGCCGACTAAGCTGAGCCCTGGATTGTGGAAATCAGGTGCAGCCCGTCCAATCCTAATGCACTTACTGCCCTTTCTCCAGGCCTTGGGTCTGTTTGCTATTCGGTATGAATGAACTCTGGCCCCTCGGGGACTTGGGCTTCTGTAAACACTAGCTCCTTAGTCATTATGGAAAAATAAAGCATTTGGGGTAAAGTTTTAAGTTCTTGCTGCTCCTTCCTCAGCCTGCCAAATGGGGAGCAGGTAGGCGGGATACCTGCCCTTCGGCGTGGCAGGGTACCGACTGCGTGCCCCCAGGGGACAGGTCGCTCACGTTGAGGGCCTCGGACCCACCCCCCGGCCCCCGCCCCGAGCCTGGCTTCCTTATCAGTGAGATCCGCGGTGTAATTACTAGGGTTAGACTAGGTCCCGTCTCAGACGGAGCCTGACACATAAGTAGGTGTTCAAGAAATGGTAGTAGTCTTACTCTTTAAGAAAGTTGGACGGGATGACAGATGTTTTGGAAAGGAGTGCCACCTGATTACCAGCAGCAACAGGACACGGCCGGTGGGGTTACTGCCCGTCCCTCACCCCAGACCGCCCCGGAAACTCGTCGCCGTTCGCAGGCCATCCCAGATCTCAGCCCTATCACGCCGCCGGGTCCTTTGGTTGCTAAGCGACACGAACTTCCGGGCGCCTTCGGAAGTGGCCGCGGGGCGGCCCCGCCCCCGGAGGCCTATGGTGGGCGGGGTCTGGGAGAGGCGGCCGGCCGCTAGGTGGCGTCCGTGCGCTGGGGTCTGCAAGTGACGGATTTCTGGTCGCCGCCGAGCCCCTGAGGCTTATTGGCCCCTTGCAAAGGGTACACCTGGGGAATGAGGAAATTAAGTCAAAGGCCATTTCGTGCTAGACCACGGTGGCTATTTACCCAAAGAAGGCCCCAGTGCAGTTTCTGCAGGAAAAAATGGTGAAGGGCCGCAAGAAGGCGACTTTAAAAGGAAACGAGTTTCAGGATAGTCCAAGGTAAATGGATCAAAGTTCCAAAGTTCAGTGTAGTCCTCTTAAGGCTGGCCAGGATGTGGTATGTTTTGGAGAATTTTGGTTTTAGTTTAATAAATTATTTGCGGGGGGGCGCCTGGGTGGCTCAGTCGTTGGGCGTCTGCCTTCGGCTCAGGTCATGATCCCAGGGTCATGGGATCGAGCCCCGCATCAGGCTCTCTGCTCGGCGGGAAGCCCGCTTCTCCCTCTCCCACTCTTGTTGCTTGTGTTCCCTCTCTCGCTGTGTCTCTTCTGTCAAATAAATAAAATCTTTAAAAAAAATAAATTATTTGCGGGGAGGTAGGATTACAGGATTTTTAAAAACCTTATTCCTTACACTTAAATACATATATTTACATATATACTTATATATAAATGTTAATGAATCAATAATAGCATAGTAATATACTTTGTATATTAACAGATAGTATATTTATTATACTATTAATAAATGTATGTATGATAAACCTGCAGTTTATATATATATAATATCTATTTAATATCAAATAAAATATATATATCTGCAGCTTTTAAGTGGCTTAAAATTAAGGTTTCAGGACATTTAATGAAAATCCTGTTACTTACAGAATGCAGGGGTAAACTGTCACACAGGGTGCTTGATGTTGTACAAAAAAACCTCTTCACAGGTGTTACTTCATCTGTTCTGTATAATAACCAGACAAGGTAGTAGTGCAGGGCCCGGCTATTGTTTTCATTTTACAGAGACAAAACCTGAAGCTCAGGGAGGTGACAAGACTTGTTAATGGTCAAACAGGTGGAACAGTGACAGAATCAGGACCATATTTCCCCTTTTTGCCACACTATTAGGCCTTTAAAAAATTTTTTAAGTTTTTTTTTAAAGATTTTATTTATTTATTTGAGAGAGAGAGAATGAGAGAGAGAGAGCACATGAGAGGGGGAAGGGTCAGAGGGAGAAGCAGACTCCCCGCTGAGCAGGGAGCCCGATGCGGGACTCGATCCTGACATTCCAGGATCATGACCTGAGCCGAAGGCAGTCGCTTAACCGACTGAACCACCCAGGTGCCCTTAACTCAATATATATATTTAAACAATCAGAAACTTGGAAGTACAGTAACTTTTTCCCCTAAGCCATTTGAGATTATAGGCATAACTCGAAGATATTGTGGGTTCAGTTCCAGACCACGACAATAAAGGGAGTATCACAATAAAGCGGGTCAAATGAAACTTCTGGTTTCCCAGTGTATATGTTTACACTATATACTGTAGTATATTAAGTGTGCAGTAGCATTGTCTTTAAGAAAACAGTGTGTGTACCTTAATTTAAAAATACTTTATTGCCAAAAAGCTGCTAATCATCATCGGAGCTTTCAGTGAGTTGTAATCTTTTTGCTGGTGGAGGATCTTGCCTCCTTGATGGCTGCTGACTGATCGGGGTGGTGGTTGCTGAAGGTGGGGTAGCTGTGGCTGTTTCTTAATAATTTAGTTTGCCACATTGATTGACTCTTTTCAAATGATTTTTCTGTAGTGGGCGATGCTGTTTGATAGCATTTTACCCATAGTAGAACTTCTTTCAACACCATTTGTTGAAAAGACTGTCCTTATAGTACTTGTTTTGGAGTATTTTGTCATAAGTATGTATCACTCTTTTTTTTTTTTTTTTAATTTGTCATCTCTACACCTAACGTGGGACTCAAACTTGCAACCTTGAGATCAAGAGTTGTATGCTTTCCTGACTGAGCCAGCCAGGCTCCCCTGTAATTTTCCTTTCCTTTAGCAATGCTTTTGAGATTTATCCCTGTCAATGCACATGAATGTTTAGCTCATTCCTTTAAACTACTTTCTAGTATTTCATTATATGAATGGACAGTATTTTCTTTACGCATTCCCTTTTTTAGTATTTATTTGTAAGAGAGAGAGAGAGCGTGTGAGTGCACAAGCAGGGGGAACAGCAGGCTCCCCACTGAGCAGGGAGCCCGACGTGGGGCTTGATCCCAGAATCCTGGGATCATGACCTGAGTTGAAGGCAGCAGATGCTTAACTGACTGAGCCATCCGGGCATCCCTATGCATTCCTTTAAAAAAAAAATTTTTTTTTAAATTTGAATAAGCTCTGTGCCCGATGTGGGGCCTGAACCCACAACCCCAAGATCAATAGTCCTATGCTGTACCAGCTGAGCCAGTCAGGTGCCACTATGCATTCCCCTTTCTGACGGGTTTTGTTTCCGGCTTTTCACCACACAACGCTCCAGTGAACATCCTCATCCATTTGTGCATATGAATCATGAGGTGTGCTTTTATTTCTTCTGAACAAGGACCCCAGGAATAATACCTAACATTATTGCTATCTGGAATATTCATTCTTGCCTCTTTTGAAGCTATATTATAGCTTATAGCCAATACTTACTAGGTCTACCCACCATTGGTTTATGCACCCTGGATTTTTTTTTTTTTTTTCTGAAGAATACCTTTGTTCTTCCACTGAAGTTTTGTACACTGCAAACTCTCAGCCTTTGCATGTTTGGAATGCCATTTCTCCCTCACTCTGAATGGGAGCGCAGCTAACACCAGGTCCAGAGTTGGCAGTTATGTTCTCAAAGTCTGATTGTATTATTTCATGGACTCCAGGTTATCTATTTTTTTTTTAAGATTTTGAGAGAGAATGAGAGCTAGAGAGCACGAGAGGGTAGAGGGTCAGAGGGAGAAGCAGACTCCCTGCTGAGCAGGGAGCCCGATGTGGGACTCGATCCCGGGACTCCAGGATCATGACCCGAGCCGAAGGCAGTCGCTTAACCAACTGAGCCACCCAGGCGCCCCCAGGTTATCTATTGATGCTAACTAGATGTCTACTGTCATTTTGGTGGTCTTTCCTTCTGGAGTCTCTTTCTGGTTGATTTTTAGGGTTTTATTTGCAATATATGTAGGGGAGGATTTTTTTAAACAACGCTTTCTTGGAACTTGGTGAGCACTTTCATTCCAAGGACTCATACATACCTTTCTTCATTTCTGAAGAACACACCCACTATCCTTTTGATGGTTTCCTCTTCCCTACTCACTAGTCTCTCCTAAAAGTGCTACTAAACGTTATGTCAATGCTTCCAAGTCCATCTGCCATATTTCTTTTTCTTTTAAGATTTTACATATTTATTTGAGAGAGAGAAAACACTCGAGTGGGGGGAGGGGCAGAGGGAGAGAGAATCTCAAGCAGGCTCCCCCCTGAGTGCAGAGCCTGACACAGGGCTCGATCTCAGGACCCTGAGACCATGACCTGAGCCAAAACTGAGAGTTGCTCAACCAACTGAGCCACACAGGCGCCCTTATCTGCCATATTTCTTAACCTCTGTTTTATATTTTCCTTTTAGCTCTGTGGTATCTTCAAGTGATTCCTCAGCTCTGTTTCCCAAATCCCTCTGTCGTCTGCACCAAATCCAGTGTTTCTCCAACACGTAGACTCTATTTCAATAAAGTACTATTTGGGGCTGCTTACATTTTGTCATGTTTTTCCTTGCAGCCGCTTTGCTTTCTCGTCCTGCGCTCCTCACTTGGCCTGGCTCTGGCCTCCCGGCATTCCTCGGTCACTCTCGGTCACCTGTGTGTCCTACACCTGTGTGTCCTCCGACAGCCTGGCACGGCTCCCCTCCACTGCTCTTTCCCTTGAGCTGTGCAGCTTCCCATCTGCTCAGGGCCGTCGCTGTTTTCAGCTCTGGGTCAAAAGGAGAGTTCCTCCGGTCTTAGGAGGACTACGCTTTTGCACTGTTAGCACCTCACTCCCCATTCCAGGGCACCAGGAGTCGAGGAGGCAACAGTGCAGGGGTGCTCACGCCTCTGGTTTCAATGCAAGTCCTTCAGCATGCCGACAGGGAAACCCGCCCCCCCACCCCGCCCCGGAGAGCTCCTCAAGGCTTCCACACTCGGTGCTGGGTTTTAAATCTTCAACCCTCTCATGTTCCAAGGGCTGGGAAGTCCTCATCTCCCACCCCGCCCCCCAGTCTCCTGTGCCCACAGAGTTCACTTTCAGTTCAGGCTAATCCTCAATTTGGGGGTGGGGATCCAAAGTCAGGACCCAGACTGGACAGAGATGCTCTGCAGATCCCCTTGGTCCTGGTAACCGTTAAGAAGTTCTGAATTGATTTCCCACAGACCCTAAGTAAAATCAGGGTTTGTTTTGAAGGATCTGGCCGCCTCCCCCCTCGCCTGTTCTTGCCATGAGACCTGCCCCTCAAAGTGTTTATGTGTACACATTTTTGTTAGTGAAAAACAGAGATCTCGATTTGGGGCGGTGAGCCTCGTTCCCACCACCCGGACTGTGCTTCTCCCCCTCCATGAGGGTGTGAGTGCAGGTAGCCGACTGCTGTGATGGTGGGGGAGGCAGGTGAGCTTCCGCTGAGAGACGCCATTCTTTCTACAGGTCTCTCTGCCCACTCCCCAGGGAAGCTGAGTCAGAGCACAGTCCGTGCCTGGCTCAGCCTGCACAGGAGGACTTGGTTCTTGGTTTTGGTCCGCCTTCCCAGTGTTCCTTTCTTTGTGGAAATGGGGTAGTTCTAAGTGGCTGGAGGGGTGGCAGGAAGGAAGAGAAGTCTAGTTCCAGGGGTTGAAGTTGCCTCTGTGTCATGTCCTGGTTCTAATTATGATTATAACCCTCAGAACGGAGGCCTCAGTGCCAGGGCTCCGTGGTAAAGGACTGCTGCTTGCCTTAAAGTCATAGGCCCATTTCCAAACTACCGTGTGCAAAAGAATCACCTGGAAGCTCGTTAAAAATGCAGATTCTTTGACTGCTACCCTCAGAAATGGGTTCAGTAGATGGTGCCCCGGAATTGGGTTTCCCTCCCACACACAACCGGAAGGTCTGTCTCTGGTTCTTGTTATAGGGCTGTCTCAACGAGGCTCGGTCTCTGCTCCATGGGCCCCTCATCCCCACATCCAGGCTGAGGGGCAGCCCTCGCCAGGACAGGCCAAAAAGCTGGGCCTGAAACAAACACTCCTGGTGATTCTGGACCACACCTTGAACACCGCTGCCTGGAGTAGTGTTAAAAGGCCAGTGTGCAGGATTAAACATTGTTCCTGGCAGATGAATAATTCCATGGTACACCTAAGACCTCCAAAGGTAAGAGCCTTTATTCTGCTCATTTCCTGGGGGGGGCGGTTCACAGAGTCTCCCTTATCATTTGATTACAAGACATGTGATACTAGCAAATACCACCTACTGTGATATAACTGCTTAGTGTCCTTTATTCATAAGATTACAGTTCCTATTTATTGAGCTCCTCTAGGTACCAGGCACTCTGTGCTGAGCACCTCACATTGGTAATCTTATTTCTTCCACAACGATTTAGACAGGCTTCCACGTGCCCTGGCCCGACGCTGGCAACAACCACCCTGGATGATCTGGAAGAACTCTTGTTGTTCGGGGAGTGACTGAGCAGGCCCAGGGGACCCTCTCCAAGGACCCCAAAGCAAGCTTTTCTCCTGGAGGAATTAACTCATCAATATTGGAAGTGCAGCAAACATTTTCTCCCAATCTGTCATTTGTGTTGTAACCATGATGTTTTCCATCATACACAAACTTTCAATATTTTGGGGTGGTAAAATCTGTTTATCTTTTCCCTAATTAGATCTTTTAGGTTTCGTGTTATGTTTAAAACAGAGCCTCCCACACCAGAGATACAATAATCTCCTATATTTCCTTCAGTAATTTTGTAGTTGAACTTTTTTGGTTTCTTCCCTCTGGAACTAATTTTTGTGGCAACTGTGAGCTACAGATCTAACTCTTACTTTGAGGGCCCGTTGTCTTAAACTCCTATTTATTAAACAATCCATCTTTTTCCCCGACTTCAAATACTCCTTTTATCCTACTAAGTTTCCGTCTACCTGGGGGTCTGCTTCTGGACTCTGCCTTTTGTCCCATGAGCCTGTCTGTCTGAGCCCACGCCAGGTCACAGGGGCCACTCCTGGGCAGTCCTTCACTCCCTCAGCGCTCCCCGCCCCCGACTCACCAGCATCAGAATTAAATATTCTCACATATTTACTCTTCCACATGAACTTGAGAACTTATCAAATCCCCAAAGTATCCAACCATGCTGGAATACACTGAATTTAGGGGTTGATTCAGAGAGAACCGAAATCTTTCCAGGAGCATCATGTATATCATCTGTGTCCGCTTACAGAATGGTCTTAGTAGATCTCCCGCTGACTCCCTTAGATTTTATAGGTCGGCCGTGCTATCGTCTGCAAATAATGACAGTTGTAACTTCCTCTCCTTCCCCTGTTCTCCTGCGGGGGTGACAGGGCCAGGACACTGCTAACGAGTGTCCTAGTTTCCGACTTGTATGGGAATGCTCGTGGTTCTTTAGAATGTCATTAGCTGCTGGTTTGTGACAGAGATTTTTTATCTAGATGAGGACGTCTCTTTGTAATCTTAACTTACTAAGATTTTTAATAAGGGATAGATCTTAAACTTTACCAAATATTGTTTCAGCATCTATAGAGACTATCAGAAACCTTTCTCTATTAGTCGAAGCTGAAATGAAGGCTGATGAGCAGCCGTACTGCCTAATGTACGCTATGTATCCCTAGTCCCCGTGCCAGGACTCAAACACCTCTGTAGAAGGATGAACCCCCCCATGCAGGGATGGGGCTGAAAGCCTTCGCAAATTGCTCGCACTTATGGGCGCTTGGAGGCTCCACTTTCTTTCCGGGGAAATGAAGTGTGCTAGACCAAATGCCCCCAGGATGGGAAGGAGCTCCCGAGGACAGTGGTGTCCAGAGTACAGGAACCAAAGAGGGGTCAGGGAGGATGGAGGACTCCCTCCCACGTCCCTGCCACCATCCCACACATCAACACACAAAGACCAAGTGCCCGCGATGAGGTGGGCGGGGGGTTTGGTATCTGAAGCGTCCTCTGAGCTCTGGCCATGACATGGTCTCTCGAGAGTTCTTCCTGCCACCCCACAGCCCCGAGCCGGGGCGTGCAGGCCAGGGAGCTCTTATGGCGGAATGGTCACAGAAAGCAGGGATTCCTCCGCCGCCCCAGTGCTAACTCCGGGTCCCCATCCCCCTCCTCCCGGCCGTCACTCAGGTCCTGCTGGTCACATCCGGACAAGCAGTCCCTCCGTAACCGGAGGGTCCCCCTAGAGCCAGGTCCTGCCCCCAGTGACCCCCGGCGCTGGGCTGCTACCCATTCAGCCTCCCCTAGCTGTTCTGACCCTGCTTCTCCTCCATCCCATTATGGGACGACGATGGGTGCTTGAGCCTGTGCCCAACTGGGCGCCACTCATAGCCCAAAGCTGAGGCCGGCACTGCGCACTCTGACCCAGGGCCCTCTTGCCACGATCTCACTAGCATCTGCCCCGTCTACCCGACGCGGGGCTTGGGGCTGCCACCGGACACAGAAGCAACGAGAAACGGAAAATGAGGGCGGAGCCCAGCGTGTCACAGTTCTGAGAGGTAGATCGGGACAGGATTCCCGTCCGGTTTGTCCAACCCGACCTTGTGTAAGAGGCAGTCTCTGTGGATGAGCTTTCTCTTCAGGCCACAGGAAGCCCTAGCCCAAGCGGAGGCGGAAGGTGGCGATCTCCATGGGCTCCAGATAGACGTCAGTGCTGTTGGAGGGTGAGGCCAGAGGGTACAGTAACGTCAAGGAGGTCGGCTGCAGGAAACCCACATCCAGGCCGTGGAAGAGGCTCCCCAGGGCCGCCTGTGGAGAGGAACACGGTACGGGGCTGTACCTCGTACAGGTACGGGGGTACCTGTACGCTGGGCGCTCTTCCTCTGTACGCCCTGTCACCTCTGGAAGAACCTCATGGGGGCAACATGGTGCCTCCCTGCACTTGGGTCCTGGAGGACCACGTCTGGGTCCACTCTGGACCCGCCGGTGCCCACACGGGCCGTGGCACGTGAGGGCGCCTATCAGCACCGGCTTAAACCATGAACAGAGCTTAGAAAGAGCAGCATGGTGGCTTTGGGGGTTTTCTTTCTGGGGTTTCCCATCTTGTCTGACAGCGGCCTCTGCTCATGGAGCACAAGCCTCCAGCTGTATGCCTCGCCCCGGAACGTGCCCCCACCAGGCCTCGCTTGCTTTGTTTCTCATCGACAGCTTCTCCCTTTCTCTCCAAAACGCCCTGGAGGGACCCCCACCCCCAGTCCCACCCTCACTGCCCACCTCACGGCAGCCTTCCCATTTTCCTGCCCATACCTGGGCCCCGCTCACCTTGCCTTGGCTTGTGGTGCAGTTGAAGCCCAAGTTTTTGGCCTCAAGGCCACAGTCGAAACCCTTGCGGTGTAAGATGAGCGCAGTTTCCGCCGAAGGCAAGGTATCCTCCTGGGTGACAGATACACAAGGGGCGGTGGGGGGGCCGGGGCCACTCGGGGCTCACAGGTGGAACAGCACTGCTACCCAGCAGGCAGTCCCGGGCCCGGGAGGAGTCTGGGTGAGGAAAGGCTGGAGCCTGGCCCTGGAGGTGCAGAGCTGAGTGGGACACTCACCTCGGCCTGCAGCGTACGCAGGTTGAGCAGGTGGAAGTCACAGGGCAGAGATGAGGCCAGGGGATGAAACGAGCGCAGACTGGGGCCTGGGAGCTGCCTCTTGGCTACAGGCAGGGCAAGCACTGGGGTATTCAGGTACATGGAGGTCAGGTGGCTGAGGAGGGACGGGTAGCTGGTGGAGCGGCCATCTTGGACCTGCAAGGTTGGCCCGAGATGCAGGTGAGGGGGGAGGGTAAACGCACGCCCGGGTCAGTTCCTCTGGAAAGAGCTTCCCCGATGTGTCTGGGAGGCTCCAGGACCCTTCACACACACGTGGCCACTTTCCATCTCACACAACTTAGAAAGGACAATTTACTAGGCCCTCTCTCGACTTTTGAGGGTTTTTGCTTCTATGACATTACCACAAGCACACACCCCATACCCTAAGCACCATCTCCCATCACACAGATTCTCAGAATGAGGGAGGAGAATGGGAGTCAGACAGATGTGTGCTTCACATGGACGGAGGGAGTACTCAGAGTGATCCTGCGGTTCCACGTATGGGCCCGTGTCCACAGCACCGGCCCTGGCCCTCGGGCCCAGGGGTCCCCACAGTTGTGTCCACCGAGGACTGCTGCTTAGGTGGCTGACCTGGACTTTCTCTCAGATGGCCACTGGTCCATATTCCGGGCTTCTGTCCCTACCGCCACTCTCCTTCCAATCACCCAGAATCTCTCACTTCCCCCTCCCCTGACCTCCGTCCCCCGCTCAGCAGTGTCCTCACCTCCACCGACAACCTCTCCCTCCTCCCTCCTCACTTCGAGCCACTGCCATTTCCTGCTTGAACAGCCTTTAAACCATCACCCGCCTCCAATCTCCCTGAAGATCCACCCTGCTCCTGCGGTTAGAGCGACATGCTCAGGGCATGGGCCTTCCTGGTCTCCCTGGTCCCTCCCTGGCCTCCAACATAAAGTCCAGAAAATCTCCCACCAGCTGTTCCAGGCCCACTATAGTCTGCCCCAAACAGCCCCTGACTTCATGCTAGCCCAGCCACGGCCACCAGAACTTTCTGCAAAGACAGAAACACTACACCTGCGCTGGACAAGAGAGTAGCTGCTAGCCACTTGTGGCCACGGGGCACTTGAAACGTGGCTGGTACGAAAGAAGAACTGAATTTGGTACTGTATTTAGTTTTGGTTCATTTAAATATTCACACGTGGCTAGAAGCTACCACACTGGACAAGCAGCTCTACTCTAGCTGAGCGAACTCACTGCTGTTCCCCGTTCACACTCTCTTGCCTTCCGCCCGTGCCTCGGTTCATGGGATTAGATCGGACCCCGACTGATCACAGCTGTGCTTGGCTGACCTTTCCTCCAGAAGCAGTCCTCTGTCCCCCAGCTCACGACGTTCTCTCCCTCTTCAGCACCAGGGGGTATATTTCTACCTTAGTTCTACACACAGAGCTTGGCCCCCCACTTCCCCCAAGTGAAGTCCTAGAGAGCAGGGTGAGTAATGCAGATGTTTGTGTCCCTCTCAGGCCCAAAGCACAGCAAGCGCTCAGGACGTCCTCGGCGAGTGAGGACTGAGCCACAGACTCGGGGGACTGAGTGGCAGGCTCTGTCATCCGCAGGCTCCAATGCCAGTTACGACTCGCTAATGCCAGTTCAACACCCCATCGCTGGCCCTTACCTCGAGGTTACTGCTCCTGCTGCTCTGAAAGACCAAGTCCCTAAACATGGCTGCCAGTTTGGAGAAAAAGCCAGGCTGGTGGGGGCAAAGAAAGCCATGAGATGAGTGCGGTCGGAGCAGAGAGGGTTAGAGGACGCGGCGGGGGTGGGGGCACAGAGGATGGCGGGAGATGCTGTGGGAGACGGAGGTGCCAGGCTGCCTGAGAGGGAGCAGCAGAGCATCAGACTCACTCCCCACACCCCCGCAAGAGCCCTACACTACCCCTCGCCCGGCTCTAGCTCTGCCGCCCAAGGGACCAGCCTGACCTGGCAACCGGGGAGAGAGGCCCAGAATTTACCTCATTGCCCAGGGTTCGCCGCTCCAACAGGAGGCGGAAATGGTTGCAGGTTCTCTTGTTGTCCTTGAGCCCTTGGCCCAGACCCCGGTTGTCGTCCTGCATCAGCCGTCGGTCCAGGATCACCTCCAGCTGGCCTGGGGACGTTAACGGTGAGCCCCGGGCCTGCGACCCGCCCCCCGTCCCCAAGCAGATGTCGGGCTTTGGAAGAAGAACCCCAACCACAAGCCCCGAGGGAAATGCCCGGTGAGCTCGCTGGAAGCAGTCACTCGGGAGAGGACGCGCCGTGGGACCTGGGCTGGAAGGGGGCTGAGCGAAGGGCCAGAGTCACAGAAGAGGGAGCAAGAAGCCCAGAGCGGGCAGGCGGGCGCGGTGCCTCAGGACTGGGCGCAGGCCGGGGAGCTCAGGCTGGGGACCGCATCTGGACTGGCCACTTCCACGAAGTAAGCAAGCGCACACAGAACTGCTCTGGGAGGCCCAGCGCTCGCTGCAGAAGCCTGAGGCCACGCAGCTCGGGCAGACTTTGCTGTGACTAGAACATGCCCGCCCGCCCGCCCCTGCTCTACACTGGGACGGACTCCAGCTCGGCCGCCGCATCCATCACAAGGGGAGCGCGGACGGCAGGCAGATGGCAGATCAGACACAAGCTCACATCAGGTATCGCTGAGGGGTGCCCGGGGGAGAAGAGATGGCAGATGATCGCCTAGGCTTTCTTTGTAAAATATGCTTGGGGAAGGGGCTCACCGCAAAGCTGACATATGTCAGGGTGAGGATTTTTCCCAGCACCTGCTTTTTTAAGAATCTCTTGAAGGAGTCTACTCAGGTGGCCCTAACCCTCTCCCCAGCCCGATTCTGACTTCTGTAGTTCCTAAGTGTTTCTACCCTGAGCAACCTTTTTTGGAAAGATATCCGGAAGTCCTAAAATGACCCCATGAGTATAGAACAATAATCTTGGGGCGCCTGGGTGGCTCAGTTGGTTAAGCGTCTGCCTTCGGCTCAGGCTGTGATCTTGTCCTGGGATTGAGCCTCATGTCGGGCTCCCTGCTCCATGGGGGGGGGGGGGGGCTGCTTCTCCCTCTCTCTCTGCCCCCTGCTCGTGCTGTCTTGCTCTCTCTCTCACATAAATGAATACAATCTTTAAAAAAAAAAAAAAACAAGACAAAACAGGGCGCCTGGGTGGCGCCTTCGGCTCAGGTCATGATCCTGGAGTCCCGGGATCGAGTCCCGCGTCGGGCTCCCTGCTCGGCGGGGAGTCTGCTTCTCCCTCTGACCCTCCTCCCTCTCACGCTGTCTCTCATTCTCTCTCTCTCAAATAAGTAAAATCTTTAAAAAAAAACAAAACAACAACAAACAATAATCTGAGCACCCTGTTTCCCTAAAGGCAGAGAGAACTAAGGGTGGGGGGACACCGGGCTCAGCTAGCAGCCAACGGCACAGAGACGGGCAAAGTCTGATAGCAGGGTGACCCTGGGCGAAGGGGCAGCAGAGACACACTCTTTCAGCAGGGGGTCAGGCCTCCAGTGCCCCGGCCACCGGCCCCCAGCAGAGCCTGGACCAAGTGCTCTTGGCTTAGCCCTGCACAAAGGCTCCAACCCAAACATGAAGATCTGAAGGCCTCAGAGGCCAAGTGCAAACTGTTCACTTACCCTGAGGACACAGAGTCACCTCAGCTTGCCCGGCATGCCCAGCTCCAGCCCAGTACTCCTCATGGCTTTGTTTCAATTCTTAAGAACGCCATTCTCTCTTTTAATGACCGTTAGTGGGAAAACACTATGTATTTTTCTCCTTTGCTAAATCTTTTTTAATTAAAAAAAAAATTTTTTTTTTTTTTTTAGAGCAAGAGGTGGGGGAGAGGGAGAGAGAGAATTTCAAGCAGGCTCCATGCCCACCATGGGGCCCAACATGGGGCTCAATCTCACAACCCCGAGATCACAACCTGAGCCGAAATCAAGAGTCAGACGCTTAACCGAATGAACCACCCAGGCGCCCCTGTTAAATATTTCGTTATAACATCAAATGCACTTTTCCGACTGTCCCTACTTCCATCCCTGGCCGGGAAAAGTGGGCTGCACAGCTCAGTTAAGAATCACTGTTCAATACCCTGGTGCTTCTTAAAGGGACCCAACAGGACCCCCACCCCCAGGTCACCTCCATGGCTGCCTCCACTAGGGGAGAGGGTGACAGCACACGTCTGCCTTCCTGCCATGCCGTGTGTGACTGACAGGAGCTGTTAATGTTCTCCAAGCACGGAGGTGACGTGGACTGGAGAGGGGTGGGGCCCACTGAGAGGAGAGGCCCTGGGACACAGATGGGCTTCTGCCTCGTCCTCCACCCTCCCCATAGCTCCGCAGCTGCTGCTCCCCACTCACCATCGTGCAGGCTGGAGACGCCCAGGGCCTGGGCGGTGTGCAGTGTGAGGCGGTTGTGTGCATCCTGGATGTAGGCCATGGCTGGCATGGGGTAGAAGTTGGCTTGCAGGGGCAGCTTCTTCAGATAGCGCCGGGGCTGCACCTGGGAGGGGAAAGCCAGCAGATCAAGGGCGTCCGGGGAACCATGTGGGCCCAACGGGTTCCCAGTCTGAAGGAGTCCCAGATCACTCTCGCCTCGGATTCCTCTACCTCCATCAGGGCAGACTGGTGATTCCCAGGGCCCCGGGGATCACCTGAAAGCCATTGAGGTCCGTGAAAAAGGCACCCTGGCTGTGGATGTCTGTGCGGATGCGCAGGGCCAGCTCCTTGTTGATGTAGTCGCGGATGTCCACCAGGGATGACATGTCCAGAGACAGCCCCTCCACCCCTGGGCAGCAGGACAGAGGGAGAGCATGGCGAGGCCTGAGAGATGGGCTGGGGGAGGCTGTGCACAACCCCCTGGCAACTCCCAGCATTTCTGGAGGGCCTTCACTGCAAGAGAATTAACGTCATCCCCGTCTCAGATGATCCGTGTGCTGGGAACAGACGCAGGAGCAGAGTACGGGCAGAAGGAAGAGCTTGGCATAGTCTGTGCAGCCCTGACCTTTCTTCTGACCTTCCTCATCTGCCGGGCTCACCTGGCAGATTATATAGCCGGACCACCTGGCGGACATGCTCGTAGTAGGCAACCACCTCGGAGAAGAAAGGGCCTTCGGTGACATGCAGCACGGGGGGATCCTTGGGGACGTAGGGCTGGGGACAGAGAGGAGGCAGCTGAAGGCACAGCACAGAAGGCGGAGTGGGGAGGTACCGGCCCAACGTTGGCAGAAACACCTGTTCCCAGCAGGCTCCAGCCGGAGACCCCAGGCTGAGCTGGCCCAAGGCCCCAGCTGACGCTCCTCAGCCCACCCCACCTCCCAGAGGCAGCTCGGGCAGAGCCGCCGGCAGGCAGGGATGACCCTGGAAGAAGGCCCGTGCCCCTCCCCACTGCCTCAGCTCACAGAGCTCCTCGGACCCTCCGTTAGCAGGGCCTCCCAGGGCCTGCTGGGTTTTTGAGGAGTCTTTACGGTACCTGGGCCTCCCCATCAGGCAGGAAGAGGTAGGCTCCACTCTTGTCTTTGGACGCGCGGGTGCCATAGATGAGGAACTCCACGTCCACCCGCTGCTCCTGCTCCTCATCCACCCTTCGGATGCTCTGCCAAAAAACACAGCCCTGACCCCTGGCCCCACACCAGCATGTCAGGCCTGCCCCCTGGGAGGGCATGGACGAACTTCCCCGAGGAGCCAGCCCAGCTTCCCCATGCTGTGCCCCGCCCCTCCCGGAGCCAAGACAGCCCACTCCGCGGCCCCCGTGCCAGTCAGGCGGCAGCTCAGCTCCGCCCCGCCGCCAGGCATGCCCTCCCCAGCCCCCCGCCCCGGCCCTTTACCTTGAGGAGCCCGGTGAGGCCTGAGAACCAGACCTGCATGTAGCGGTTGCTGAGGGCGAAGTCATTGGCGCCCGAGTCGATGATGCGCAGAGGGAACGCGTCCTGCCGGCTGACGGACAGCTGCCGGCCTTGCAGGTAGACGCGCACGGAGGACGGCAGGGTGCGGTGCCCGTCCAGGCCCAGCTGCAGCTGCAGCACGCCGAGGCCCAGGGCCGGCAGGCGGATGGGCACAGACACCTGTCGTGGGAGGGAGGGGTGAGGGAAGGAGGGCCGAGGGAGGGAGGGTCGCGGGAGGGAGGGAGGGAGGGGTGAGGCAGGGCGGCCCACAAGGCGTGGGCATCCATTCTGGAAGCGGGCCTGGGATTCTAGGCCCGGGGCATTCACTTCCTCACTGAGAAAGTCCGAGCAAATGCTGATACCTCCTGGGGCCTTGGTTCCCCCCCGACCCCCCGCTCTGAAAGTGGAGGTGACATCGCTTGCCTCTGGTCAGACTTTCAGGAGTCTCACATGATACCTGAACAACTACGAAGCGGGAAGCGCACGTTAAACTTTCTGTAAATGCTTGCTGAATGAAGGAATAGCAGGGCAACCTAGCCCCCATTTCTAGTATTCTCCTACCCACCAAACTTTGCCTTCCTTTCGAAGACAGACTCAAGTCCCAGGAGTGACTGTCCTCTGGGCAACCCCCTCCCCAGGACCGCTGTCCCCAAGCTGGGCAGGAAGCGGGAGGGTGGGAGGCTGGTGTCACAGGCAGAGTGAGGCCGTGGAGAGAGGCCCCGGGTCAGCACCGAGGGCTGGGGCCCACCCTGGGGGCCCCCACTCACCTGGTAGACATCAGCGACCATGTTGGTGGCAGAGCTCCAGTGTGCGCTGATCTGCACAGCCAGGGGCTGACCCTCCTCTGAAAGGACACGCACCCGGGGCGAGCTGACCAGCAGGGACACCACGCTGAGCCGCTCCTGTTCCAGGGGGTTGAAGAGCACCACATACCTGCAGGGAGAGGCAGGCTCACCTCGGAGGCCACTGCTCCCGGGCAGTGGCACCCAGGCCGAGTCCTGTGGTGCTTGGGCAGGTGTGGGTGGGAGATGGTGTTGGGAGCCAGAGTGGCTTCGCCTCTGCGCCTGGCCTAGTCTGGCTCACCTAGGTGAGGAATCCAGCTGGATCACTGTGCGCTCCGGCAGGGCGTCGTGATTTAAGCGGGTGTCATCCTGGGATTAAATGGGTGGGAAGGAAGAATCGTCATGCATCAAGCTCAGAGCCTTGTCTCCTCCCCAGCCCCTGCCTGTCCTGGCTGTGGACCACCAGCAGCACTGGGCACCGATCTTTCACTCCAGGGCAGGCGGGAAAAGAAGAGCAACACCCTCATACTGCAGCTCTTGGATGGGATTGCACACTCCCGAGAGCGCCCCGAGCAGATCGAGAAGTGGGGCTCACCATTTGGAGGAAGGGTGCCTCGGCATCGAAGTGGTAGGTCTCTTTGTCCCCCAGCACCAGATAGTGAGCTGCATTGATGATGACCTGCTTCAGGTTGACAAGGGAGCGCAGGAGCCTGGGGGGAGAGAGGGCATGGGGTGGGCATGGAGAAGACAGCCACTGACAGACCGTCCACCTCTCCAGCAGGAAGAGCCCTCGGCAGGCCTGCCCACTGACTGCCCAGCTCGGCCTTTCTTCAGGACAGCGGGCCCGGGCATGGATCCAATGCGGAGGAAGAGAGCCCCCACCTGACGCCATAGTCTGCCACGACGGCCTCCTTGGCCGTGCCGGTGATGGCATCATGGTGCTGGAAGAGGCCCAGAGTGCGCCGAGCTTCCGTCAGAAGGGCGAAGTTCGAGAGCGGGTACTGGCTAGCCAGTCCAGAGCGGCGGGCGTGAGCTACAGCAAGGCTGTACAGTATCTCTGCCCCCCTGCCCAGAGAGAGAGGTCAGTCAGCCTCCTGCCCATACAACTCCCAGGCCGGCCGCGCTCAGCAAGCCCCGCCCCCTTCCTTCCACCACGTCTCTGCCTGCCTTGGTCTCCAAGCCCTTCCGGTGCATTCTGAGCCAATCCTCATTAAACTCCTCATTAAACCCCAAAGGCTTATTCTCCTCTCTCTGGCCTGGAAGGGGGGTGAGTCTCACCGCAGGTGGGCTTCCAGGACCCGGTCCAAGCTCTTGTAGAAGGGACGGGAAGTGTAATAGCCGGTCCAGTAATGGTCCTCCCGGTCCGCATAGGAGAAGAAATCCCCGCTCAGCACAGGGAACCCTGGAGGCCGGGCCCCTGGCTCCACCCCGGTCTTCTTGTACAGAGCGTCAAAATAGTCAGAGAGGGTGCCAAACTGGGCCTGTGGAGACCCCCAAACCCGCTCCCATCAGTTCCAGACTTTCTAGGAGTTGTGACCCCGAGTGCTGCAGTTGGGCGCCAGGAGTAGGGACTCTGCCTACGCACAGGTAGTCACGGCACGTCCTACCCTGCTGGCCCGCAAGCAGACGCAGGGGGGGCCCAGGAAGGAATTCTGACATAAAAGGGAGACCCTTGCCCAAGAGTCGGGCACAAACCCCTGCCCTGGAGCTGGTAACCTCCCAGGCCAGGCTGCAGCACTGCAGAGGGAGCCCCCCCCCGCAACCACCCCCCAGCTCGGAGCCCCCTCCCACCTGCACATGGAGGTCAGGCTTGCTGTTGAGGAAGTCAAAGAGCCGCTGGTAGTTGAAGAACTGGGCATCCCACTCCTGGGGCTTGTCGTATCGGAAGTCGTCCCCCAGCGGCACCAGGAGGACATTGCTTCGGAACAGCCGGGACTTCTTCCGGTACTGGTCCAGGAGCAGCGTGGCCCTGGGGGGGGGGGGGAGAGGGCATGGGCCCAAGTGGAGTCTGGGTGGGAAGAGGAATGGAGCAGAGCCAGCCTCAGAGGGCCCCTGAACACACCCAGTGAGGAGTCACGGGGCCTGTGGGGGGCACCTCCCGGAGTGGGAAACCTGTCCCCGGGAGCCCCGTGTTCTCCGGACGGTGCTGACAACTGGGGAGGTCTTCCTAGGCTGGGCTGCAGTTTCCGGCTACAGGTCCCAGACTCCAGGGCGGCCCTTGGACACCTCGCAGAACGCAGCACTCCCCTCCCCTGGGGTTCTTCAGGCGTATGCAAGACATCCTCTGCGCCTTCCCTGCTGGCTCCGCAAGCCCAGCTCCTCCGTCACCTGGGTCCCTCCATCCTCAGTGGTTCCCCAGTACCCTGTGCCTATGTCCCTCAGAGCGCAGGGCCTGGCACTGGATGCAGGCATCCAGGTGGGCCACCGGTGTGCGGGCGCATCAACAGGGGCGTCTTTGGCAGCCCTACGGTCACCCCACGGGGCTGATGTCAGCCAGCGTGCATGTTTCCCATGCCTGTGGTTCAAGTTCCTTCTCATCCTGAACTTTTCTATGCTGTTTTCTGAGGCTAAGGGGGGAACTTCACGTTTATATCTAGTAAATCTCATCTGGTTAGATTCGACCCACATCACACACAACCTGTTGGGATCTTGTAGGATCCTGATCCTGACACTCCAGCTTCACTTTGCCCACCAGTGAGCAACACAGCACAACACCAAAGAGCCTAGAATCAGAGCCAGACTATGCCAGCTCCACATGGACTAGGCTGAGTGACCCTGGGCAAGTTACTTAACCTCTCTGGGCCTCAGTTTTTATAAAATGAGAAGAATGTCAGTACCTACCCTCATGATGTTATGAGAAAACAGACTAAGCAAATTAATATATATATTAAACATCTAGAACTGTGCCTGGCACATAGCAAAAACTATAGACACACGTCCATCATTTTCTTTTTCAGTCGAGTTACTCGTAAAAATCAATAGAAAAACAGAGCCTTGCAGCCTCTCATTAAAGCCCCTTTCTCTTGGGGCGCCTGGGTGGCTCAGTCGTTAAGCGTCTGCCTTCAGCTCAGGTCATGATCCCAGGGTCCTGGGATCGAGCCCCACATCGGGCTCCCTGCTCAGTGGCTCAGTGGGAAGCCTGCTTCTCCCTCTCCCACTCCCCCTGCTTGTGTTCCCTCTCTCGCTGTCTCTATTGAAAAATAAATAAAATCTTAAAAAAAAAAAAAAAAGCCCCTTTCTCTTTTCAGACCAACCTAGTAATTGGCACATCGCGGGTACCATGGTTCAACCAGCCACTAATCTACTTAACTGGGCTGATCCAGCTGGTACTTTTCTACTTTGCTCTCGAGAGAGGACTCCTTGAACACCATTTTCCCCTAATTTCTCAGCCTACTAAGCCTTTCAAAGGAGAAAACGTAGTTACTCTTGTGACTTGCTCTCCGCAAACCTGGGCTGGCATCCGTATGTCACAGATGCGCTTTGGGAAATACCACGCCTCAACAGCCCTAGATTTTTGCTTAGAATCGGCATTCAGATTTTTGGGTTTCAGAAACAAAAGACCACTTTCTTTCCCTTTGGTCACATGTTTCACCTCTTGGACATCATGGAAATCAGAGTTACTGGAACATAAAAACCAGTTCAACTCGTTATAATCTCAAGGCCAGTCGGTTCCGGCCAACCCACTGTTCTAGGTCACTCTTAACCTGCCCTTTCCCAGTGAGGGGGTGCTGACTTCAGCAACAGAGACATCTTTAGGGGTCCCTAACGACCCTCAAGAGGGCAGGTGTGCTTTCTCTGAGGCTGGGGGCCCTTGGGCAGGACTGAGTGGGATTCCAGGTTCACAAGCGCTGGGGATCCTGGCCAACTTTGGGCTAAGGCAGGATGCCTGCGCTAAATGAAGGCATATTAGGCCACAGGGTGCAAGGAACTTTACCTATTTCGAGAACTGTTCACTTGTGAGTCAGTCAACCGGCTCTGGCCGGGCAACATACTCATTTGGGAAAATAAAACCATTCTGGCAAAGGGGGGGTCCCTAGAGCAGCTCTGGTTTTCCAGGGAGGCTCAGAAAAGGCGCTGCACCTTAGCGGCTGTGGACCTGAACTCACCACCTGTGCCCACCCCCCATTCTACAGAGGTACAACCCGAAGAACCGCCGTGCAGCGGAGCCAGGAGCGAGGCCAGGTCTCCTGGCTCCTCCATGCAGTGAAATGGCCCAGCGCAGGCCGGGGACAAGTACCTCTCGGCCACGTTTGCCTCTGTGACCGCCCGGGGTGGCACCTTCCAGGGGCAGTTGATGCGTCCACCCGGCAAGCGTTTGAAATCAAACTGGCAGCAGATCTTGGGATCCGGGCCACAGGTGTGGGGCACATCATAGCTATAGAAGGGCATCATGTGGCAGAAGATGTCTGTGTTGGAGTCCGAGTCTGGAGAAGACACAGCAGGCGGTCAGCCACCAGCAGGCAGCCTCTGGAGCCGGCCACAGGGGTGGGTAGCAGGGCGGGGATCTGCTCCAGCTACGGGAACCTCTGACATAAGGTGAGGCCTGAACCAGACCTCAGGCTGCAGAAGATGTGCAAGCCGAGGCTTGGGACACAGGGAGGGCTCTGGAGCCCACAGCTCCTCCAGGGGTGGGACGCTCAGACCCTCAGTACAGAGAGCAGGCCCTGCAGAGGCCAGAGGTCAACGTGACCCTTGACCCCATCTGAAGGAGGCGAGCACTCTGGCTGTCTGCACTAGTGCTCATTGGTGTGCTCCGAAGGACACCAGGTCTTATTTCTCATCCCCCTGTCCTTCCCCAGGGAGAACTGTGACCCTCCCCCCACCCCCTCCACCCTACCTGGTCTTACCCCAGGTCTGCCTCCACATGAATTCCAGACTATGGGTGGAAGCAAAGTGCTTTTTGATGGCATAATGCACCCTCTGGATCAGCATGCTGGTCAGGTTGGCACGGCGCAGCAGGTAAGGAATGGTGGAGCTATGTCCAAAGGGGTCCACTGCCCAGCCAGAGCGCGGGGTCGTACCTGAGGACACGGGAGCCAGAGGTCCTGAACACTTCAGGACCGGGCCTCCTGGCCCTGGGGACCCAGCTTTCTTCTTGCCATCACACAAGGCCCAGGCTGGTGGAATCAGCTTACAAAGGAATCCCCCACCCCCACCCCTGCGCCTCACAGGCCCCTGCTGTGCCCTAGGCCCAGCTATGGGAGCAGACTCTCATTCCCGAGCCCAGACTCACCGAGGTTTCTCTCCAGCCACTGGTGTCCCTCAATGAGCTGGTCAATGAGCGCAAAGTAATGGGAGTTGGCCTCGTCCGGCATCACCCAGCCTCCTGTCACAATCTCCAGCTGCCCGTTTCCCACCAGCCTGGAGCGAAGGATGCACACTCAGCATGGGGCGGGGATGCTCTGCCCAGTCCTGCCAACCAGAAGACGCCAGGACCTCTGCGCGCTGGCCTCACTGAGCCCGCTCACCCAACCCCAGGACCAACAGAACAAATGTGCACCCTCCTCTCCTGCCACACAACCTCCATGCTGTCCTGGCCCTGCCTCTCTCTGGACCTCCGTCTGCGCTTCCCGGGGCCAGGCCCCGTGCTCCTTCTTCACTGTGACTCTGATTTCTCCCAACACCAGTGACTGTCTTCTTAGCCTCGGCCCCTCTACTATCACGACTCCCTGCCCTGCTCCCCCTTCCACCCTGGCACCCACAGCTTGGCCTCCAGCTGCTCTGGCACCCATCCCGGGGCCCAGAGGGTAGGGCCTCCCCAGTGGGCACTGGCCTGCGGACTGCTGCTTTCTTTTGGGCATTGATGTTGTCCCACCACTTGGCAAAGAAGGAAACTTCTGCCCAGAGGAAGCGCCGCCGGGGGTCCTCCTGCAGCTTGGACACCATGCTGTTGAGGATGTGCTGGGTTTGCTCCGTGTAGTACTTGTCAAAGGTCTTGATCCAGCCTGGGGAGCCAACACAGGTCCCCTAAGGACGCCAGCATCTTCGTAGGCCCTTCCCTTACCTCTGCCACCGGAAAGCCCCCTGCACAGCCCAGCTCCCAGGGCTCTGCTGGGTCCTCACCTGGGTCATTGTGGGAGTGAGGCACCACGAACACCTGCAGGTCTTCAGCGTCCCAGTCGTGCGGGCTGTAGGAGATGTCAAAGCCTTGCTTCCACACGCCGCCATCCACATTGTCAAAGGGCAACTCCTCTGATATAGTCAGCATCTGCCAGGCCAGGGAGCAGCTCAGTGCCCATCCACAACCACCAGAGCTCCCCACCAGCGCTGATCCCCTACCTGCAGCTCTGGCTTCTGGCCCCGGCCCCCCAAAGCAAACTGGCAGTCTTGTGGGGAGATGGAGAAGAAGCTGGGCCGGGGCTCGGGGGGCACCACCCAGGAGCCATTGGCCGTGTAGTAGGGCAGCAGGGCGGGCGGGCCCTCCGCATTGGCTGTCAGCTCCAGCACCGAGTCCTTGATGTGGCTGATGATCTCATGGTTCTCCTCCAACAGCTGCTCCAGCTGCTCAATGCGGTTCTGGAGCACAGAAATTTGGCTCTGCCAAAACACCAGAAAGCAATCACCCATGGCTCCTGGTGCCGCAGGGAGGATCTCTGCATGGGGCCCACCACCTGAGGCCTGACTGTGATCCTTCCCTCCCCAAGTGCAGGCAGAACCAGGAGCCTACAGACCCGGATGGCTCTGGCCAGATGAGGGAAGATCTGCAAATCACTACAGAGGACCACAGTCCACTTGGCTGGGGAGTACCCTCACGCCCTGGCTCCCAGAAGGGCGAAGATTTCACCTCGTATGCCTATTCTCCACAACCGGTGTGGCCCGTCTGGAGCACTGTGCTGACAAGGACTGCATCCGGGCTTAGTGGGAAAGAATGCTGCAATCCCTTAGCAATGTCTGCCAAGAATTCAGGAGGACAGAGCGGCAGTACATGTTTCTCCTTCCTTCTTCCTTTTTTGCTATCCTTGTTTTTATCTTCGCGTGTCTAGAAAATCTGCCAATCGGGAAGAAATGTTCCTATCCTGGGCTGACACTGACTCTCGACCTGAGCTCAGAGGACTTGTATATGAAGAGATTAGCAAGCAGGCATGACTCACCCGGGGGAAGTTCCCGCCATTCTGGTGACGGGTGGGATCATGCTGCACTCGGTCCAGCATGAGGTACAGCGAGAAGACAGCCACACAGAAGATAGCGGCCCCACATACTGTCACCTGCTTTTTCAGCTTCATGCTGGCCTCCACACACACCTGGCAGGAGGGACACCATATGCGGCTCCAGCAGGCAGAATCCCTTTGTTGGTCTTTCCACCAAATGCCCCCAAAGAGTTCCTGAGTGCTACTCTCAAGGAACACCTATTTGCCTGACTCCGAAGAAAAGCGAGAGTCTAAGCACCAAATCCCAACACTGGCTGTGGAGCCTCCTCTCTTGGCTGAGACACGGAAAGCGCGAGGAGCACATCTGAAGCACGTCCTGCCTGGTCCTGGTGGCAGCTCAGCCCCTAGGATGCAGAGGATGCTCCTTCCCAGGGTAACACGACTGGATAACAAACGTCCCCGCTCTGACTCCAGAGTGCACCACACAACCTCCTGATTATGACTAGCTTCCCGCAGAGCTTGCCTACAGGAAGGACACAGCCAGTCAAAGGAGGTGGGTGTCCAGCCTGCTTGGCGACGTGCTTCTAGTTTCAGAGGACTAACCTGGGATTTAGTTTGAATTTAAAGAAACGGACAGGGAAACCTTTCTTCCTTTTGGATCTGACCGATGCTCACCAGAGAGTGCCTGGCACAGCACCTCTCTCATTAAGAAAAACAGAATGAGTTTACAAAGCTGCAAGAGCAGCTTGTGTTTCTAACATCCAGCGGGCCCTGCGTCTTCTCCCGGCTAGTTCAGATTCCTGCAGTGGGTAACTTTCAGCCTTTGCTTCTAGAGCACCTGGCGGACCCCCTGGGAAGCCAGCAGTGATTGGTGCCCAAGGTCCCCTGGCTAGGGAGAGGCTGGGCACAGTTGCTCCGCTGTGGGGCAACTTCAGAGGACCAGGGCCCGCTGCCACCGCCCGCGGGGCCCCCACTTGCCTGCTCCCGCGGAGGGAGGCCGCTAGCGGCTGGGCCGAGCGTGGGCGGAACCGCCGCTCCGGAGACTGGCTCCCGCCCTGGGGCCGAGGACCTCTGTCGCCTCTGCGCGTCGTGCCCTACTTAGCACGATCTGATTCCGCTCACAAGCCTCCGGGCAATATTTTTAGCCCTTGGAGGCTGGGTCTAGGCCAAAGTGGGTGGAGCTGCGGGGAGAGAGCTGGGTCACAGGGTGGGTAGGCACCTGCCACCGGGTCTTCGGTGGCCCGCCCGCCGGCCGGCCCAGCCCCCTCCCGGCCCTCCCGGCCCCGGGGACCGCAACGACAACGGCCGGGTGCGGAAGCGCGGGCCGCCTCCGACGCGAAGCGCCGCTCGCGCTACTGCCGCCCACCCCGGCGGCGGCCCGGGGCGCAGCCGGAGCCCTCCCCCGGGTCCGCCCGGCGCGTTACCGTCCGCGGCCGGCCTCCGCGCCGCTCCGGGCCCCGCCGGCCGAGCTGCGCCCCTCACATCCCCGGGGCCGGCGGCCCGCGCGAAGACAGCGACGCAGGCGAAGGCGGGCGTCCGCCCAGCCGTCGCCGCCCACTCCGCGCGCCGCAGCCGCGCTCCCGCGGGGCCAGGGCCACCCGCACGCTCCGCTGCGCCCGCCCCGCGCCCGCCCTCCCGCCTCCCGCCTCCCGCCTCCCGCGGCCGCCCGGCTGACCAGCGCGGGGGGCGGAGACAGCCGCGCCGCGCCCCCTCCGCGCCAGCCCCGCCCCGCCCCGCCCCGCCCCGCCCCCTCCCGCCGGCCGGGCCCCTCCCGCGCGCTCCCAGCCGTCTCCCCGGGGCGCCGGCAGCAGGGCCGCATCGCGCAGCCGCAGCCCGGGCCCGGCCTCGGCGCGCTGCGGAACCTCAGCGAGGGGCGCGCAACTTTATTTTTCTGGCTCTTACTAGCGTAAGCGCATTGCCAAGCAGTAGTAGAAACATTCCTCCTCCATTTCAGCTGCCGAACGGTGAAGCCCATTTTCCGGGCCCGCCCTGTTCCGCTCCGGGTCGCCTTAACTTGATGCGGCTACGCTCCCCAGGCCAAGGGGTGCTGCTTCCCGTGGGTGCCCTGCATTGATCACGATCCCTTTCCGTGCTTGCCACCCCGTCAATAAGACATCATTTTCGTGGTGGTTCTCCTTTCCCTGGGCATCTGTGTGGTTCATAATTTTGCAGCATCATAAACCATACCGCAGTGAACATCTCCATGAATTCCACATTTTTCTTTTTATAGTATTACCTGAGGACAGATTCGCGACAGTGAGGTTACCTGTGCTTTAAAGATAAAGACCGATGTGACTGAGTATACTTGGCGTTCTGTTGCTCCCCCAAAGGATTGTGCTATCAATGACAAACTGTTGAATATTGCTTACACAGATTTTTATTTGATTAACCAGATTTAAACTGTCATCTCATTGTTTTAACTCCCATCTCTTTTATCACCACAAACATTCTTCTAAGTTTATTTACGAACTGAAGGGCCTGGTACTATGGTGTTAGACCTAGGCTGGGTTCATGGTCCCCTATGTCTCTGTGTTTTGCCCTGTGTTCTGGGAAATTTATCTTCCAACCTTTCTGTTGAATTTTTCATTTTGGCGATCATGATTTTCAAGACCTCCTGTTTGTTCCCTGGTGATTTTTTTTTTTTTTAATTGATGTATACTTCAGTCTATGGCACAAGTCTTAAGTGTAGAGCTTAATTAGTTTTGATAAATGTATGCACAAGGATAATCACCACTCAGATCAAAATGGAACATTCCCATCACCCCCAAAATGTTCCCCTCTGTCAAAAGGTCAAGCAGTCCCTAAGCGCAGCATGGTGGCTAACGAGGGTCACTACAGAAGCTGCTAGGTGGGCCTGCCACATTTCTGTAGCCTCAGCCAGTAAGGAGACTTGTCGACAAGCCCCCATGGATCCAGATAGCTTTCTACTCACGCAGACAGCAAAAGCAAAACCAGCATGGTGTCAGCTTTCCCCAGAGGACCAGAGTGAACTGGAGGGACCAGATGATAGGCAGCAAGGTGGTAGGTCTCTCTGTGGCTAAGGAGCCAACTCAACAACAATCGGACACTTTCACGGCCTGCAGCTGCCCTCGAAGTGGAGGGAGGGGCCGGGTGGAAAGCCTGGCACTCAGATGAACTAGGAGGAGGGCTGGGAGAGGGCCTGGGGGCAGTGTCCCCACACTGTCAGGCTGCTTCTGTCCTCTGGCTCCAGGGGGAATCATAATGCGTTCTGCCAAGACCTGGGTGGTTCTTTGGTCAAGCCTCACCTTCGTGGCCTATCGGGAGCTGGGCCAGGGCATCGGGGCGCTGTGTCAGAGCTGCTTCCTACAACTCTACTTCCTGCCACCCCAACCTTTCATGTCTCCAGCTAAGAATTCTTTTCAGGAGCATAGCCACTCCATCAGAGAGTTAGTTGTACTGATGGGAGCTTGGACCAAATCCTTTCTATTTGTCTGAACATCAGATGAGAGTGACCGCAACTGTGCCTCCCAGTAGGGTGATGAGGCCCATGTGGAGGACCGACCACAGCCAGGCTCCCTACTCGGAGCCAAACCACGATGTCCCAGATGCCACTGGGGATCAACCTTAGAGCCGAGAGATAGATCACTCCACTTGTCCTAATTCATTAATTCGAGAGCAGCAAGAGGTGTTAGAAGCCATCAATATGCTGCCTTGACTGGCCAGCACGAAGCCCAGAGCAAAAGAATTGTCCATCACCACTTGTACTACAGACTTTAGACTGGTTTGTGTTTGGCAGGCCGGTGTAGGCCTAACGTCCTCACCCATAGCAAGGGCAGTAGGAGAAACACCAGGTTAGGATCTCCCACCCCCGGCTCTTCTCTGCTGCTGTAGGTCCCAGGAGCCTGGTTTCCTGGAGGTAGGGATGAGAGGGGAAAAGAAAGAGTAAAGGAGACCAGTTGAGGCCTCTTTTCTCCCTCTCAACCTTATAGTTAAACACTATCTGAGGGAGAACCGCCCTTTCCTGGAATTGCCACGTTCGGAATTCACACTGCCTCGTCTCAAGGGTGGGCTCCATTGGGAGCTGAGTTTCGGTCGTCTACTTATCTTTTTTAGTTTTTCCTTTAAGAGTACATTCCATTTTTTGTTGGCACCTGCTACCTGTCGGTGATACAGGGCATGCAATGTCCGGGGAATGCCACAGGTAGTTACCCACTGCCCAGTGTTCTTGGCTATGAAAGCACCACTGTCTGATTGGATGTGTTTGGAGAACCCAAATGTGCGACACAGCCCATTTAGGAGTCTTTAAATGGTAGGGCCCACATCTACCGTGCAGATGGGAGTTGTTGTCCATCTCTGGAAAAAGCTGCCAAGAACAGTCATTGCCCAGCAGTACCATTGAGCAGAAAGTAGGAGACGCGTCTCATCTATTTGTCATGACCAGCCAGGTTCGGTGCCCCAGAATACACGCCCCAGAGTTCTGTCACTCCACTGTATAGCCAGTGGTCCAGGCATATTAGCCAGGCCCTGGGTTATAGCTGTGCAGCCACGTCCTGTGTGATAATGGATTCAGGTGGCTGTAGCTCTTACCTGGGTGGTACAGGTCGAACCAGCTTGTTGGTTCCACTGATGTTCGTGGTCAAAGGGTCCTTTTCCATGGGTAGCCTGTATTAGCCAAGATTCTCCAGAGAAGAACCAATAGGATGTATGGATGTGTCTGTGCGTTTAAAGGAATAAGCTCACACAATAATGGAAACTGGCAAGTCAAAAATCTAGAGGGTAGACCAGCAGGCTGGAGACCCAGAGAAGAGCTAATGCTACACTTCAGTTCTGAAGGCTGAGAGGCTGGAGACCCAGGGAAGAGCCAATGTTGCCGTTCAAGTCCAAAGGCCATCTGCTGCAGAATTCCCTCTTGCCTTGGGGAGGTCAGTCTCTTGTTCTCTGCAGGGTTTCGGCTGATTGGATAAGGTCTACCCCCATTATGGAGGGAAATTTGCTTTACTCAAAGACCATCAATTTAAATGTCAATTGCAACTAAAAAAAACCTTCACAGCAACGTCCAGAATAATGTTTGACCATGATCTGGGCACCATGGCTCAGCCAAGTGGAAACACAAGATAGCCACCATGCTTTCCGTGGGTTGTGAACAGGAACATGGGTTCCACGAAATCTGTTGTCATAATGCTCTTCCTACAGGAGTTAGGACTGGTGGCAAATCACAGGTGAATTCAGCTAGTCCTGTGGCATCACTGTAAAGGTGTATTGCAACCCAAGCCAATGAAGGCAAGATGATTTTCATCCTTTGGATGTAATGGGATGCTAACAAAGGCATTAGCAAGCAACGTCCACCACCACATCCCAGGTGTCTTCAGTCTGTGCCATGAGCTCTGTGACTTGTAATAATCTGTAAGGCACCACAGGCAACTGGCCTTTGTTAGTGGCCACTTAGGGCTATTATAAGAAGATATCAGGTCGTTGAGCCCCCTTAAATCTCCTAGTTCCTTCATGGAGACAGTAGTTCCCTTCCTCACCCCCCTACCCCACTCTGCTTCGGGTTAACCACTTGGCTCCATTAGAAGAGGTGACCCCTGGTCCCTATCCTAATGACAACGATCCTGATCATGACATTTCCCCATTGGGAACATCCCTTACAATCAAGAGACGTTAACACACATACGCAAAACATCCGCTCCCACAATATATTCAACAGTATTAGTTACAACCACTTGGGTGGGTGTTCGCTCAAAAGGACTCACCCCAAAACTACGGCAACCCAGCATCCAGTTTGTCCAAATCTAGTGAGGGAAGCTTTTGGTCATGCCTGAGAGTATGTCCCAGTTATCACAGAGGCCCACGGGAGGCCTGCGAGGCTTTGGGAATTTTCCCTGCTCTCAGTTTTCTTAATTCACCTTGGCCACTGCATAGGGCCTCTGGTCTCCCCTGGGGACGAAAGGACCTTGGCCTCCAACCTAGCCCCAGTTTGTCTATGAAGGGGGTCAAGGATAGTGCAGAAAGTGTTGGGTCAAACCACAGTGTGAACAGCACAAACCTCAGTGGGGAGGTCAGGGCTTTCTTGGTGTCTCTCCCGTTTGCTCACAGGACACGCCAAA